GCCATCTCATGGGGAGGGACACAGGCTTGTAAAAAAACGATGTCAAAACAATATTCAATACTACTATTAACAGAGGAAAGTATGAAGCGCTACAGGAGCATCAGAGAAAGGATTAGCTAGCTATCTCCAGAGGAAGAGTTCACTGAAAACTCCCTTTGTCCTAGCGTTTTGACTTTGAAACTGTTTTCACAAAATTTTACAATATGGGCACCTGGGTGGCTCAGTTGGTTAAGCGACTGCCTTCAGCTCAGGTCATGATCCTGGAGTCCCAGGATCGAGTCCCACATCGGGCTCCCTGCTCAGCAGGGAGTCTGCTTCTCCCTCTGACCCTCTCCCCTCTCATGCTATCTCATTCTCTCTCTCAAATAAATAAATCTTAAAAAAATACAATATGTATATATATGTATATGCACACACACACACACGCACGGTTTATTTGTCATTCTAACTTCACAAATACGGTAATATATACTTCTAATGTTTATTCTAAAATTGCACTGATATCCTCTTTAACCTATGAGTTCCTTAGGAGTGTATTTTTAAAGTTTCTAAGCCTAGGAAATTTTGTTTTTAGTTTAAAGTTTTCTTTCTTATTCCTAAGTTAACAGTTCATGGTAGGAGAAATTTGATCACGATGAAATGGACTTTTAAAAATATGTTGAGACTTCATTGTACCTATTACATTGTTAATTTTTGTAAGTCCTCTGTATGTGTTTAAAACCAATGTATTTCCTATACAAGGCTTTCTACTGGGCAAAACTAGTAAAGTTTTTGCTGTTCACATCAGATTATTAATGCTTATTAAGTTTATTGTCTGCTTGATGCACACATTTATGAAAGGTATGCTATCAAACAAATAAAACTGGTATGTTTATTTTGGTTGTTTTATTAACTTTTGCTTTTTTAAAAATATTTTATTTATTTATTTGAGAGTGAGCGAAAGTGAAAGAGCTCACAGAGGGAGAGGGAGAAGCAGATTCACCTCTGAGCAGAGGTGGGGCTTGATCCCAGGATTCTGGGATCATGACCTGAGCCGAAGGCAGACACTTAACCGCCAAGCCACCCAGGTGCCCCGTAACTTTTGCTTTTCATATTACAAATCCACATTATTAGGTTCATGATTCTTTTTTTTCTTTTCTTTTTAAACAAGTTCATGATTCTTAAATCTTAGTGGATTTTTATGGACTTTGCCATGAATTCTAACTCGTTCTCATGTAGTTTCACTAGACTTCATTCAGTAAATCTTTTTCCATCATTTTATTTTCAATCTTTACTGTTTGTAGTCATCTCTACTGTAAACTTTATATAGTAAGTATGAAGTTTTAAAATATCTGACAGTCTTCTGTGTAATTAACTCGTTATTTTAATCACCCTGGAAATTTTCTTTTCCTGCCTTCAGGTGGAACTTTTCTTTATTCCTTTTTTCTTCAGCTGTTTTAGAAACTATATATTAAGGAATTAGTAATTGATCTTGATTTATTTTAACAGCTTCATTGAGGTACAATTGACATACCATAAACTGTATATATTTAAAACTTATAATTTGTTAAGTTTTGACATGTATAGTTCACAAAACCATCCTCAAAATCAAGATAATAAACATACCTATAATCCCCCCAGATTCTCCATGCCCTTCATGTTTTTCTCCTTATTCTTTTAAAAGATTTATTTATTTGAGAGAGAGAGAGCATGAGCAGGGGGAAGGAGCAGACTCCCCGATGAGCAGGGAGCCTGACATGGGGCTCGATCCCAGGATCTTGAGATCATGACTTAAGCCGAAGGTAGATGCTTAACTGACTGAGCCACCCAGATGCCCCGATTTTTCTCCTTATTCCTGAAGCTAGTTTCACCATCATTGCTAGGTGTGGACTAATTTTTACCATCCTCCTATGTAATGGAAGTGCACTTTTCAACTGAGAACTTTGGAAGCCTCTCAGCCATTTTCAGGTATCGCTACTCAGACACTCCCTTTATTATTTTTTTTCCTTCTGGAACTGTTAGTTATATATTGGAAGCTCTCAATCAATTCTCTATGTATCCTCACTGCTTTCGTACTTTTATTTTTCCTATTTATCTCTCTGCTTCATTCTGGGTAGGTTCCTAAAGCTTATTCTATTCAGGATCTTAGTTCAGTCAGTAACTTTATTTTCTCATTTCCAAGGCTCTTTTTCATATCCACTTGTTTGTATATCACTTCATTTTTTATTTCCTACTATTTTTAAATGTTAGAATTCATTTATATCTTGGTGAATGAAATGTACTGATTTTAAGATATCTTCCAGATGTCTCTATTATTTTAAATTTACATGGAGTGAATTCATCTTCTGATTTTGTTTTGTTGGCTCACTTAAACTTAGATCTCTTGATGGGTTTTGGAATTACAGTCTACAGGATCATTTAGAAGGGGGTGGGTAGAGTTTCTGTGTATATGTGAGAACATGTGCACATCCAACTATTCCTGTCTAGCTGTTTTGCAGTTGTGTCTACCTGATTCCCTAGAACCCTCAAGTCCATAATCAAGTCCCAGTGCTCCTTCACCCCCACCCCGCCCTGTGTTAGTGGGTATATCACGATCCAAGTATTAAGCCACAGAACAGCTTGATCTGAACAGCTTGATCTGGATGGAGAAAATGCAAAAGCAAGATGAAATCCCTGCCCTGGCAGGGGTTCAGTCTATGAGGGAAGTAGGCAGGTTACAGCTGAATGCAAAGAGTGCTATTAGAGAAAGGTATTTAGAGGATGTGCTGACATTGTGCACATACCTCAAATGTTCCCGGTGTTGAGACTGAATGGTGGAACAAGGAGTTAGGAAGATGAGGGAGCAGTCATGAGAATATTATGCACTGGGAAAGATAGTCATTTGGTAAGAGTGAAGTTCATATGGTGAATAGGTAACAAGCTTAAGCTGAAAAGGCAGGTCTGGGTCAGCTCGGAGGTTTTTTCCTAATGTCATGTTAGAGTTTGCATTTATAATAAAATCAGAAACTTCTAAAAATATTTTTTGAGAATAACAGAGTTGCGTTTTAGGAAAACCAATCTATTACAAGGGTGATGAATGCACTACAGGAAAAAACTGTTAATAAAAACACTAAAATTTTTTGGACACCTGGGTGGCTCAGTTGGTTAGGCGACTGCCTTCGGCTCAGGTCATGATCCTGGAGTCCCGGGATCGAGTCCCGCATCGGGCTCCCTGCTCAGCGGGGAGTCTGCTTCTCCCTCTGACCCTCTTCCCTCTTGTGCTCTCTATTCTCATTCTCTCTCTCTCAAATAAATAAAATTGTAAAAAAAAAAAGATTTTAAAAAACACTGAAATTTTTTGAAAGTTGGCTTAAGTTAGTGGTGACGGTAGAGATAAAGAAGGGCATTTGGGAGGAATTTAGGAGACAGGTTGGGTGTAGGAAAACCCAGGATCATTATCAGATTTACAGCTTTGGAGGTTAGTTAGTATAACTTTAGAGGGGGGAATACAAGAGAGTGTAAGGAAGAGGTGCAGAGGGAGGGATGATATGGATGAGGAGTCTTATTCTGGGCGTTTTGTGTTTGAGATGACTGTGGAAGTCAGAAATACTCGGGAGGAAGCTCAACTATGGATATGGACTTGTAGATCTGAAAGTCATCAGCACCTAAGAGATAACACATGACATTACCACACAAGCTGTGGCTCAGGGGAGAGATGGGCAGACACATACAGCTAGCTGTTAGTTTTTGGGGGGCGGGGGGTGCTTCTTCCCCATTCTTGGTATTTTTTTTCCATTTAGGAAAGCACAGCACTCCTAATCTCTATGCTTCCTCATTCGCTTTGCTCAGGTCTAGTGCACATCACCAGGTTCTCCCAATGTTAATTAGTTAAGGCTAAATGAGGTCATAGGGTTGGGGCCCTAATCCAATAGGATTGGTATCCTTCTAGTAAGAGGAAGAAACACCAGAGATCCCCCACCCCCACCCTGTACCCAGAGAAAAAGTCCTATGAGGACTAGGAAGCCAGTTCTCATCAGATACCAACCCTGCTGGTACCTTGATCTTGGACTTTTAGCCTTCAGAACTGTAAGAAAATAAGTTTCTGTGGTTTAAGCCCCCTAGTCTGTAGCATTTTGTTATAGCAGCCTGAGCTAATAGACCCATAACATATGAAATTTTATCACAAGAAGCTTTATTACAAAATGCAGGGGAGAAAAGGCTTAAAGGAAAAGGCCTAACCTCAACTGCACAGGGTGACTGACTAGAATGCTTTCAAACAGAGCTTTCCTGCCTCCAGTTTCTCCACTCACTAGATCAAAGGTTCTGAAACTTTTCAAACAAGTTCACTTGAGAAGACCATCACTCAGTACATCTGGGGAGGGTCCTCAGGGCCTGCATTTTCATCATGTATCCCAAGCAGGCACAGAGTTGTCCTCAGGTACACTGGTGAAGAGGCCAGCGAAGGTTGACATCCAGCCCACACGTGCCCCGGCACAGGTTAGGGAAAGTGTCTTTTTCTTTGCACAAAGGCACACTGACTCACCGAGAGGCTTGCACCTACTGGAACATACCAACCAGAAGTGGCACTTATCCTTTTTGTATAAACACTGATTTGTAGGGTGCCCTTGGATCCAGCTGATTCAGGTAATCCTCGACCACCATGTACTACAAAAATGGAAAATTTACATAGGCCCCAAGGATTCCCTAAGGAAGCAAATCTATACATTTTTGTAGGAATGATGTTAAAAGATTGACAGTCCAATAGACAGATGAAGGTTTGCTAGAAAAGGCTGGAAAATCACCTTATAGTGATAGATTAAGCCACAGAACAAAAGATGGAGTGATGTCTTGGACTGGCAATATTTTTTCCTTTGGTATTTACCTAAGAGACCCCAATATTAAGGCAAGTATGTTTCTTGGAGAATTCACATACACTATTGAAATGCAGAGAGGTTAGATACAAGTCATTGCTTGTTACTCGAAATGGTGGGTTTTTAGATGATTTAAATTAATCCAGAGGGAAAGGACACTTATGTGCGCCATCGTTAACAAAGGAGATGGTAGATGACATTTATTTTTGGCAATAGAGAGAAATCCTCCCGAGACACAGATGCTTTCTCACCACGTGAGAGAAAATGAAAATTCACTATGAGAAAACTGAAAATCTCAACACAAATTTAAATAAGGAGGCCTGGTAATAGGAAGCAGAGAGAAAATGTTCCTTCCATGACTGGCAAGCCTTGCCCATGGGGATTACAGAGGGGAGATGCCTCTTTTTTTACATCTGGATTATTTGGAATCTTCGTGAAGGAGCCGTCACGCCACCCTGCCTGCTATGCAGCCGGCCAGTGTATCTGAGGTCAGCATTTTGTGAATTCCTTATCCAGGTTAGGCCATGGATCCAAGAGCTGCTAGCTCCGCCTAAAAGCTGTCGCCGCTTCCTTTCTGCACGGCTTGACCTAGACACTGAAGGGCTTTTCCCTGGCATGTACCGCAACGTGGGTGTTGAGTGCTCCCATGTACGTAAAGCTCCTTCCACACTCATCACAAGAAAAAGGCCTCTCCCCTCTGTGATGGTGCAGATGGGTCTTCAAACTTCTCTTCTGGAGGAACCCCTTGCCACATTCAGAGCACCTGAAAGGCTTCTCTCCACTATGCGTATGCAAGTGGACCTTCAAACTTCCCCTTATGCAGTAGCTCTTGTCACACTCGGGACACTGGAAGGGCTTCTCACCACTATGGACTCGAATATGTTCAGTGAGCCTATACTGCTGAGTGAAACTTTTGCCACATTTAACACAGGAGAATGGCTTTTTGTCACTGTGCTGGAGCAGGTGGCTTTTCAAATTTCCTTTGAGACGGAAACTTTTATTGCACTCAGGACACTGGAAGGGTTTCTCTCCACTGTGGATTCTCTTATGTTCAGTGAGCTGAGACTGCTGAGTATAGGTCTTACCACACTCGCCACATGCAAAGGGCTTCTCCCCCCTGTGTATCCGCTGGTGGAATTTCATGGAGGCCTTCCAAAAGAAGCTTTTGTCACACTCAGGACACTGGAAAGGCTCCTCCCCACTGTGAAGTCTCATGTGCTCAGTGAGGTGCGAGTGTCGGCTGAAGCTCCGGCTGCACTCAGAACAGGAGAATGGCTTTTCTTTGGTGTGGACCTTGAGGTGCTCCGTGAGCCTCGACTGCCGAGGAAAGGTCTTTTTGCACTCATCACAGGAAAATTCCTTTTGCCTGTTGTGGACTCTGCTATGGCGAGTGAGCTTAGAGGGCCGGGTGAACCTCTTGCCACACTCCCCACAGGAGAATGGCTTCTCCTCACTATGTAAACGCTGGTGGGCCTTCATGGCATTCTTCCAAGAGAAGCTCCTGTCACACTCTGGACACTGGAAGGGTTTCTTCCCACTGTGCTGAAACAGATGGGCTTTTAGGCTCCTCTTTAGGCGGAAACTTTTCTTACACTCAGGACACTGGAAGGGCTTCTCTCCCGTATGAACTCTGATATGTTCAGTGAGTTTCGTCTTGTGTGTGAATTTCCTACCACATTCGTCACAAGAAAACGGCTTCTCTCCACTGTGTATCCTCTGGTGGGCCTTCACGGCAGCCTTCCGGGAGAAGCTTCTGCCACATTCTGGACAATGGAAGGATTTTTTCTCATTGTGTTGGCAAAGATGGGCCTTCAAACTTCTCTGCTGGCGGAAACCTCTGTTGCACTCTGGACATTGGAAAGGCTTCTCCCCAGTGTGCACCCTGAGGTGCTCAGTGAGCTTGCATTGCTGGGTGAAACCCTTGCCACACTGCTCACAAGAAAATGGTTTCTCTCTTTTGTGCAAACACAGATGCTTCTTCAATGTGGCTTTACACTGGAAGGTCTTGTCACATTCAGGGCAGGGAAAGGGCCGCTGCCCCGTGTGAACAACCTGGTGGTGAGTGATCAGGCTGCATTTGAGATAGTAGCTCTTCTCACACTTGCCACACTGGAAACGCTTCTTCTTACACAGGATCATCCGGTTCCACCTGAGTTCAGGGGTCCCTCTGGATTTGTTTTTGTGCTTTGAATATTTACAGGGCTGAGTCTTAGCGTGGTTTCTTTTGTGCTTTACCAAGTCCCTTTTTAGCTGAAAGACCTTCCCACAGACAAAGCAGGAATAAAATCTTGGTCCTGGTGGAATTTCCAAGTGACCTGGAGTACCTATCAGCTTATGCCATGGATTGCTGTTATCCTGATTAGATGCTCTGAGGTCAAGGTTTTTATGTACAATCCCTATTTCTTGGAGACTTGGATGCTGTAAGGTTGCTCTTTCATCTGATAAGATCTTTCTTTCCTCCCCTGGTAAGGTAGCACATGAACCCTGCTTTAGGAGACCATTTAAATGGCCTTCCTTCTCTTTTGCCCTGAGAGTTCCTTGGTCACCTGGAGAGAAAAAAAGAAGACCCACCCTTACCAGTAATGTGTCTGTGCTATGGTGGGGTCAAGAACTGTGTTCACATTTCTAAGGAATCTCAATGATTTTGATGACTCTGTGCATCTGCCTGCCACAGGTAAATTATATTTAAGTTTAACTTTGATATGTAAATCCTTCCAGTATGTGTTAAGAAATGGCTTAGTATGGGGGAAAAAAATTGCAGGCAGATATATCTTGTGAACTTATGGATGACCCTCAGAGGGTAAGCAGAAGTTGAAAGAAAATAAAGATGAGTTAGTCTGAGAATATGACCATTCTATTTCCTTAAATCTGTTAAATAAGGCTTTGGGTCATATTCTTGCCCCCAAATTTCAGGAAAAGCTTTCTGGAAGAAATGCTAATAGGTATCTTTCTTAGGAATGTCAAATGGCAATTGACTAAATTCACAAAGAACACTATGGAGATAATTCCCTTTTCCAAGAACTCTGCATTATAAGAAACGTATTAATATAAGCACAGTCAGTGCTGTTCCCAAAGTAAAAGCCATGAGGACAGGAAACGGGGAGCTGAGTTGGCACCTTATTCTCACCCACAAAAACTGGAAAGAACAATTTCAGATGCTCACTGGAGCCCCTATATTTCAGAACTGCTTTTTCTCCCACCTGTTGAACTGGGTCCTCGGGTTCTCCTTTTTTAAGTCTCTTAACACAGGAGGAAAATTCACCTGTCAGGAAGGGTAGGCCTGTCCCCAGAGAAGGACTCTGATTATGCTCTGTGGTCATCTTAACAACAACATAGGTTATGTTTCCATCCGGGTGATGTCATTTAGTAAGTTAGCGCTCCACAGCTAATGTCTAGATCATACTTACCTGTCTCCTTGAATCCTATTTCTTATCACTTACTATTTATGCCAGGCAGAGAAGCAGCTGTGACTACTGGGTGAGTGCCACCTGGCAAGAAGGGAACATTACTTTCTAGGGACAACTAAAGTTGTCCATTCTTTGTTACTCAGAAACCTTTCTAGGTCCTCCCTTTCTATAGGATGAAGTCAAACTTCCACCTTGGCATTCCTAGCCTCAGATAAACTGGCATTAATTTATGTTTCCCCTTCTCCATCTCCCATCCCAAGAATAACATTCAGCTATACATTTTCTAAATACAATGGGCTTGTTCCCACCTCTGAGCCTCAGCTCATGTGTGACCCCTGCTGATCTTCTCTAACCAAATCTGCCCATTCTTTGCTATTTAAACCCTAATTCCTTAGAAGTCCTCCTGGGAAACTGCTATCTCTACTCCACTCATTCTCCTCTAAATCCCTGTAGCACTGCTACCACTGCCACCTATTTTATTAAACTGTATACAGTCCCATTTTATAGATGACTAGTCCAACAGTTCGGTACAATCGACTAACTTAACTGCCATGTCAGGTAAGACAATAAACTCCTATAGGAGGACATACATATAGGTATATAGACCTCTCCATCCCACCCCCAGCCTAAGTAATAACTGACAGTCCTATGAACATGGTAGGGACTCAATACTCATTAGATGAATGAAATAAGAGACGGTGGCAATGAAATAAAGTCCTTGGGAATTCTTTTATTCTTTTGATGGACCTAACCATACATCCCTGGGTTCAAATCCCCTCCTCTTCAGGAGAGTCCTTTGACTTCCAGGGACTTAGAAGATCTCCATTTAATAAAACATTAGCATAGTCTAAAAAATGACCTATTCCTTTAAGTATTTAAAGTGTTATAAAGTGTTTCCAATGTTTTTCTTATGATAAAAGGAATTCAAAAAGGAATCCTTTAAAAGGAACTTAAAAAAAGCCCAAGTTCTAAAAATCTGTACAATAAAAAATATTAACTGGATAGTTGTCCACTGCTCTATACTCAAATGGACACAATGGTATGATGGAGAAGGTGGTTGTTCCTCAGGACTTGACAAGAGGGTCCTTTACTTGCTCTTTTACAGGTACTTCTTTCCAGGGTCATAATTTTTTTTTTTTAATAAAACATACACAACTTCCCTCTTTATAAAAAGTAATACATTCTTATATTTGTTTCCCACTTGAATAAAAAAACCTAACATTCTCCATCAAAACAATTGTTTCTTATTCACTATGTCCAGCTGCCTATCCAGAAAGATTCAGGAAAACGAAATGAGTCCTGACCCTAAATCCATCATACTCACCAAAATACGGCAACTTTCCAGTCTTCTGCAAGTCCCACTGCTCATCAGTAGAAGGGCTAAGTGTTATGTTTTTCTCCAAGGGTCCCTGGTCTCTGATTAACAGCATTTTCCCTTGTTCTATCCAGGAAATCAAATCTGGCTTGGAAAAAACGCCACCTGCAAAGAGAGACCACATAGACTCAGTCTGGGTTTACCTGAGTACTTCACTAAACGTGATTTTCACAGTTAACTTTGATTCCTGAAGATACATCATCAAAGTTAGGTCAAAAAAATTGAAACCCTTGAAATTACATGAATGACAATAAAATATAACCTAACCAAAACTGTTTAGCTTAAATGTCCTCTGCAGTATTTCACAAAATTAAAGGAAACAGAAGTTAAGGGCGATGATTTTTAACAACAGATCCAGGCAGAAAGCATTAACAAATGATCATTATGAGAACAATAAAAAGCAAAATCACAGGGGGTCAAGGAGGGAGCCCAATCACTAAACACCTCTGACTAGACATCCAAGGAAATTAACTACTGAGGTACAGTGAAGGAACCAGGAAGTTGTTCAATGACAGCACTTATGAAGGGGGAGAGAGTAATGTGTCTAATGATATAAGCATGAAGGGAAGAAGGGTAGTTATAAAGCAATGGAGAGATTTTAGAAGATGCAACGGATACTATGTAGTAGCGTCACCTAGTGGTCATCCCTCGGGTCAGTGTTTCTCAAAGCGAACTGGGTACCACCAGCATTTAGCAGCACCTGAAGTGCTTGTTAAAAATGTAGATTCCTGGGCCTGAGGCTGGACCTGCTGAATCCTAATCTCTGGGGCTGATATCTGGACGTCCTGTAAAGAAAATCATTTGTAGCGCGCCTGGGTGGCTCAGTCTGTTAAACGTCTGCCTTCAGCTCAGGCCATGATCCCAGGGTCCAGGATTGAGTCCCGCATTGGGCTCCCCACTCAGTGGGGAGTCTGCTTCTCCCTCTCCCTCTGCCCCTACCCTCTGCTTGTGCTCTCTTTGCCCCCCCTCAAATAAATACATAAAATCTTAAAAAAAAGAAAAGAATTTGTAAATAATGCCATTTGGGTTTTTTTTTTTTTTTAAAGATTTTATTCATTTATTCGAGAGAGAATGAGAGAGAGCGCATGAGAGGGGGGAGGGTCAGAGGGAGAAGCAGACTCCCTGCCAAGCAGGGAGCCTGATGCGGGACTCGATCCCGGGACTCCAGGATCATGACCTGAGCCGAAGGCAGTCGCTCAACCAACTGAGCCACCCAGGTGCCCCTGCCCTTTGGGTTTTAAAATGTGGGAAAATCAGACTGGATTTTCCAAGCCCACGGACACTAGTTATGATAACTCCAAACTCAACACTGGATTAGCACATGGCTCTAGTTTCTTGTACCTTACTGGCCTCAGACTGCTTAGCCTGAACTCCAAAAGTTGAGGTGTCCTGGTGCTCTGTCCTATCTACATTTCTCCCTAGATGATCCCACGTAGCCCTCAGGTTTAAAACACCAGATTTGTGAATCCAGTCCTGATCTTCACTTGAAATTCTGGTCTCGCATACCCAATTATATATATTTCCATATAAATATCTAATAAGCATCTCAAACTTAAGGTTCTCTCCCCAAGCTTCGTCCTGTCAGTGAATAAAGCCATTGCCTTCAACATACTTGAGCCAAAAATCTAGTTGATAGTTCTTTCACCCTGACGCTCCATATCCAATCCACGAGCAGACTCTCGAATGCTACCTCCAAAAGATATCCAGAGCCCATCTTACTTCTCTTTGCATTACTAACTACCTGGTTCAGCTGCCATAAAGCCTCACCTGCCCTGCTGAGATTCTTTTTTTTTCTTTTTTTAAGATTTTATTTATTTATTTGACAGAGAGAGACACAGCGAGAGTGGGAATACAAGCAGGGGGAGTGGGAGAGGGAGAAGCAGGCTTCCCACTGAGCAGAAAGCCCACCCCAGGACCCCGGGATCATGACCCGAGCCGAAGGCAGACACACGACGACTCAGCCACCCAGGCGCCCCCCTGCTGAGATTCTTGGCTGGTGTCCTTCTTTTCATTGCTGTGCACTGCCGTTCATTCTCCACATAGCAATTCAAGTAATTAATTGTTAAAACAAATTTTGACATATTACTCCTATGTAAATCCTCTCATCATCTTATCTTCCCTTCGTCTAGAATAAAATCCTAGAGGCCCTTTTCTCATTTGGTATACCACTGTCCCCTTCTCCTAGCCTTCTGCACATGTGCTCCAGCAGCCTCCCCGTGGCTCCCAGCACGCACTGAGCACATACATGCCAACCCCTGAACTTCTGCACTAGTCCTTCCTCTGCTCAGAATTCTCTTCCCCCTGATTTCACACAATAGACTCATCTTGTCCTTTGTATCTCCGATGGAAGAGATTATAAACCCCAAAGGAAGGAGAGAATGCCACAAGTTATACTAAGATCAGCTATTAAAGTGAAAACAGAAGAAATGGTTTTAATGATACAAGAATGAATTCAAGCAAGTTGGATAAACAGCAAGGTATAATCTCCACAAATTTCTCTTCAAATCTCCTCCCTGAGTATTTCTCTAGGGATACCTAAAAGTCCTATCCCCACTGCTCTTTCTCCCTCTACCAGTGAACTGTTTTCCCAGATCTTATAAGGATAGAAAATTCATCCTATTTAGGAATATAAGCAGGCATCAAAGTATCACTTAAAAAATAAAAGGGTACACTTAAAAAAAAGAGAGACGAATTGATTATTTAATAATTTTTAACTGTGGGAGAAGCAAGGGAGGGTTTGTGTGAAAGAGACTGTAGAATTGATAAGACTGAGGGGTGCAGATACCACTAGATAAAAAGGGACAAGTTAAATATTCCCAGGCTGTAATAGGAAGTTAAGGACATATTCTGAGTGTACATTAAGCACAGAATTATATTCAACCAGCTAATAGCTAATACAGAGCAGAAATCCTATTGGTATTAGGCAGGTTCCCCCAAAATGATTCCTTTGAAGCCCAGCTTACCCAGAGAATCAAGAGTCTCATAATTGGTCTTCATCACTTGCTGATACATTTCCTTCTGCCACTTCTCCAGGATCTCCCACTCTTGCTCCGAAAAATATAAGGCCACATCATCAAACGTCATCCTTACCTAGAATCACAAACAGTACATACGTACGTTTTCACTTTCAAGCTACTGTCTTCCAACGTCCATGTCTTTAAGAGACAAGAAGAAACCATACTAAAGTCTCCTTCTCTCTGGATGGCGCCGTGAACAATGTAATAAAGGGGTCACAGAAGTCTATTGGACCCACACAGTGAATGAATGACTAGCAGACCTTTGAGCACATGTACCATCTAGAGAGGGATCCTTTACTTAGCAGCAGTTATTGCTATGCAAGACTTTTAAAAAAACTTTTTATTCTGAAATAATTGCAGACTCATAGGAAGTTGCAAAGAGTGTATAGGCCAGAAAGGTTCCCTGTATCCTGTACCTGTTTCGGGAGGGGGTGAGAAGCAGAAGGGAAAAATGCATAACTTTAGTAAGATTATTAGATATGAAATTTCAGAAAGGGTAGAAGAAAAACTTGCATAGGTAAGGAGATTATACTTAATTGAATTTAACAGTTTCCTGGATTAAGTTCAGGATATGCGTTTTAAAGTCTAAAACCGGTGTTCACATTTTCCATTAACAACCCCACTGGTTTCCCATTTTCTCTCATTTCCCAGAGGCAGCAGTCTCCGGGTCCTCTCACGCCCACTCTCCCTTCCCGTGACTTTTTTCATCCGTTTATACAGATGACGTTCGCTGAGGCCACATTCACCGGCAGGGCACAGAACGAGAGCCCAAGAGAAACCACGACGTTCAAAGAGCCCCGACACAGGGCGGGAAAAAGCGGGTGACCTGAGGGGACGAGCGGTAAAGACCCTGGATTTCTCCACTTGGCCCCTTTCTTCCGGCTCAACTGCGGAACAACTCGAGCACCTACACGCCGCCTTCACCGGCCAGGGGCTCGGAGCTCAGTCATGGGTCGCCGACAGTCCCCCGCCGCCTCACTCCCCGACTCGGGACCCCACTCCAGACCGCGACAGGGACGAATTTCTACACAGCCCGCAACCTCCACGGTCCCTCTTACCGGAGCCGGCTCCGCCATGGCCCTTCGCGCTCCCGCCCGGCACCTGTCGCGGGCCGGGTAACTGCCCCAGAGCCGCCGAGCGCCCGGACGACTCCGCGGCACCTCCCTCGGCGCGCGGCCTCCCGCCCCGCCCACCCCACCGGCCCAGCCCCCACGCGGTGTACGCTGGGACTCGGGCCTGCCCCCGCCCCACAGCGCCCCCTGCGGCCCGGAGGAGCTAGCGACGGCCGCGGCAGACGCCTTTGCTGGGCTGAGCCGCTGGCCGCAGCGCTGTCGGTGACAGGTCGTCTGGTTCTGCCGGAGTCTCCAAACGAGGAAGAACGAGACCCAGACGCGCTGGAAGGCATTGGAGCGAGGGAGACGGAGAGGTGGACGTGGCGTGAGCTGCACGGAGGGAGGAGACTCACTCTTCACTGAGCCCTGGACGGAAAGGGGGTGCGGGGATTGGTTCCTCCCCGAAGCGGACCCCAGGCGAGGGGTAGGATCAGCTGTGAGGCCATCCCCGGAACGGAGCGAGGGAGGTGAGCCGGCCAAGGGGATCAAGGAGCAGGTCCCCGCCGTGGGCAATGGGGAGTCTGTGGTGCCGGGCACTCGGAGAGTGTGCAGACCCGCTCAGAATCCTCCCGCCACGGGCCAGGGGCCAGGAGGCTGGAATTCATCCACCAAATCCTGCCCTTCTTCAGTAAGATCACTTCTGGTCTACTTGGACACAGGCCGAGCTGATAAATTTAACTGTAGGTTTTTGTAGATACATCGTCTCAAGTGAGGACGATGTATCGTCCTAGTTTGCTGAGAGTGTGTATTATGAGTGGGTGCTTTGTTTTGTCCAGTGCTTTTTCTGCATGGATTTCTATTATTGTGTAGTTTTTCTCCCTTAAGCAATTGATATGGTTGATTAGATGGATTGATTTCTGAACATTGAACCAGCCTTGCATTCCTGCCGTAAACCTCACAGTAATAAACTGTGGGGGGTCTGAAATGCCACTCCTTTAACAAGCTAACAGATCCACCTGCCATAGTTTCATTCATGTTGGCAAAACACAAGGCTCATGGGTCATAGGCAGCATGAGCTTTATGTTCACATCCTTTGCTTGCCCCCAAGTCCCGTGGGAATGATATGGGGTGACCCAGATGCATGTTGCACCTATGATGGGTTTGTGTCACAGATGAGGAACCCAAACCTTGGAATTCCCACTCTACAGTAGAGCTGCCAGCAATTTGCTCAACTACTCTGATAATCTCTCTTCTGTTTTGTATTTAGGCCATTTACACTAAATGTTGATATATTTGGATTTACATCTATCATTTTATTATTAGTCTTCTGCTTTTCCTGTCTGTTTTTCATTTCTCTGTTTCCTCTTCTGGGTTATTTGAACCTGTTTTAGTATTGCATTTTAATTTACTTGTTATAATTTTCACTATATCTTTTTGTATTTTATTTTGTGGTTGCTTTAGGAACTACAAAATACACATTTCATGTTCTTTTACTTTTTAAAGAAAGCAGCTTTATTGGTATGTAATTAATATACCGTAAAGTTCCCCAATTTAAACCATACAGTTCAATGACTTTTCGTGTACTCACAGCTTCTTCCTTTTTTCTTTCTTTTATTTTTATTTTTTTAAAGATTTTATTTATTTATTTGTCAGAGAGACAGAGAGCACAAGCAGGGGGAGTGGCAGGCAGAGGGAAAAGCAGGTTCCTGCTGAGCAAGGAGCCCCATGCAGGACTCCATCCCAGAACTCTGGGATCATGACCTGAGCTGAGGCAGACGCTCAACCGACTGAGCCACCCAGGCATTCCTCTTTCTTTTTAAGTTAATAGACTTATTTTGATCAGTTTTAAATTTACATAAAAATGAGTGTTAAGTACGGATAGTTCTCATTACTCCCTCATCTTCCCTTTCTTTCCCATATTAAAAGAAGCATGCAGGATTTTCAAAATTAAAAAATCCAATACTCTGGTTTCTCTTCAGATCGTATAAATCTTTCGCCTTTTACAAAATTAAAAAATCCAAGGAAAAAGAACTGCACAATGACCTATATAAAATTCTAACTGAAGAAAATTCAAAACTCTGATTGTTTCAGAACTGATTGAACTGACTTGCAATGTTATTAACAATGTAAGAGTGTAACATGTTTCCCATCTTTTTTGCAACATTTAAAAAAAATATTTTATTTTTAAGTAATCTCTACACCCAGCATGGGGCTTGAACTCACAACAGCAAGATCAAGAGCCAGCCAGGAGCCCCTACCAACATGTTTCATTTGCTCTGGCATCCATGTTATGTAACCAGAACTTAATTTTGTTTTGATTTGCATTCATTTAATTACTATTGAGGCTGTAGACTTTTCTTTTCTTTTTTTTTTAAGATTTTATTTATTTATTTGACAGAGAAAGACATCAAGAGAGGGAACACAAGCAGGGAGAGTGGGAGAGGAGAAGCCAACTTCCCGCTGAGCAGGGAGCCAGACCCAGGCTCAATCCTGGGACCCTGGGATCATGACCTCAGCCAAAGGCAGATGCTTAATGACTGAGCCACCCAGGTGCCCCGGGCTGTAGACTTTTCTAAATAGAAAAATTTATTCATATAATTGTAGATTCACATGGAGTTATAAGAAATAATATAGAAATACTAGTACTCGTGTGTGTGTTTAGTTTTATGAGGCTATAGACTTTTCTATGCATTAATTCCTTTTTCCTCCTCTGTAAACTGTTTCTTCATTTCCTGTTTGATAATTCTCTAGTGGATCCTAGAAAATGATCTTACATATTTATATAAATTTCTTATCACATTCACATTTATTTTCTTTGAGTAAAACCATTGGCTATGTATAATTATAACAGTATATGGTGTTAGTTGTGAATGTAAACTAGTTCTTATTTATTCTAATATCCAGTTTTACTACATGGACAGCCTTTGTTCTATTATAGTGAAATTCACTTTACACCCTTAACTAGTAGTGTTCATGAGCCTTCAAAGTCAATGGAGCCCTTTCTTCTTTATGAGTGTCTGAGGCACTCCCTGACTTCCTTAGTGGTTCTTACATGTCTCCAGTGTTCTGCCTTCTCCCCTGCCAACGAGCACCACAGGGTTAGCTACACATCTTCACTGTTGTCATTGTAGCCCGTGGCTATTTCTTCTAAAGCTGCTAGCAGGTCCTCAAAGTTGGGGGCATGATTTTTTCTAGAGTGATTACAGTTTCAGCCTAATTAATGTCTTTTACTGGGATGCTCAAATTATATTCCCAGGGGACCAGAGAAGTGATCACCTGAAATAAATCACCACATGTTACACACTTGCTGTGTACATGAAAGCCCAGTATCTTGATGTCCCTTCCATGTTTTCAGAAGGAAAGAAATCATGAATAGGCAAGGATGCAGCTATTTTTGTAAAATTCTGCTTAGTTTTCTAAACTATCCTTACCAGGTCAGCCTGTCTGTTCTCCATGAGGAATGAAAATATTTCCCTACATGGCCTCACAAGAATCTTGCCCCAAGCTTTAGGTCATCCCAAGCCAACACATCTCTATTCCCCAGAGTTATTTCTGGCTGACTTCAGGAAGTCCTAACCCATAAGGAAGCCAGCTATGGTAGGATGACCTTGAATTTTAGAGTGAGAAAGACCTGGGTTTGGATGTTGACTCAACCATCTGCCATCTTTGTGACACCAGGCAAGTCATTTGAACACCCATAACTTTAGTTTCCATATCCGTAGGGTTACTATAATAATTGAGATAACACAGATAAAGCACTTTCACCACAGTATCTGGCATTCATTCCTCCTGGCCTTGCTTCCTTCCCACCTCCCTCGACCTCAGATTGTCCAGTATTCTGATAGGCACTCTTTCACTCTACCTAGAAGTCTCCTTGGTGCTCTTCTCTCAAGTCTTCTTTTCTCTCTTGGTCATGAGTCATTTCCCTGCAGATGATTCAGCATAAAGCCAACATATTAGGCAAAAATCATATATCGTTAAAATCACCTGGAACATCTCTTAAATTGCTCCTAAAGTATAAGGTTCAGTAAAAATGGTTTTGTGCAACTCTGTACAGCAATTCTTACATACATCAATGTTTCAGAACCACTCGCTTAGATCAAAGGAAGGAAGAAAATGAAAGTCCATTGATAGATGTCTATGCATTCAAACCATTCAGATCTCTGGAGGTAGTGAAGCAACAAATGAAGAAATCGAAAGTGTTGCTGCTTGCCTATTGGACTTACTCCATTCCACATTAATATTAAACCTATATAACCTTAATGTAGTCAATAGACTTTAGTGAGAGGATTACTCCACTAAACACACAGGATGTAACTTAAGTATCTATCACATGGGGGCACTATGAGGAATAAAAGCTACAGTGTTTATGCTTATTCACACAGTGCTTGGCATGTAGTAAGCATTTAACATAAGAGCAATTGTTTTTATTATCTTCTTGAAAAGGAGCAGTTAAAGGATCTAAAAATAACGGAACCAGATGGAAAACTGCCTTTCTCATTTCACTGAGAAGCATCATATACACTTAAAAGAAAATACATGACTAGTCTTTTTTAAATATGTGGTTAAGAGAAACCCGAGATTCTGAAAAATCACACATACACTCATATGAGGAGGAAGAATCTTACCTAGAATAACCTATAGTACTCTGTAAAGTTTTATTTCTACTTTTTCTTTCCAGGGGCTTCCTAAGCCAGGATCTGTTTAAGTTACTAAGATTCGCTTTTCACTGTTCTTATTTCCAGTAGGTGCTAGAAATGAGGAGGTAGGTGTACATTAACCCCCAAAGAGAAAACACACTCTAAACTACAGCTAAGACTGTAATGGTTGTATTTGTCGAGTTTGAGGTCTGATTTGAATCACTATTTATAGGCAAACGTTGATGTTTTCTCCTTAAAAAGCAGGAAGCAAAATCTTGTTTTCCAAACAGGAATGAATGGAGGTGTCTATTGAATGCAGGAATTT